GGATGGGGATGGGGTTGGGCACTAATGCCAACCGAATGGCCAACTAAACGCTTTATAATGGACGCTCTGGCCGCCAGGATTGAAACTTAATTGCGAAATTTTAACAAACACTCGGAGCAATAACAATAATTTTATCAGTTTACACAAAGAGACACAAGGGGGCACAGCTGCATAAGAAGTAATTGCATACATATACAAACATATGTATGTCTGTATGTATGTTTGGGCAGAATTTGATGGGGAGTCTTGTACCACCCACTGTGCCACTTTCAAGTCCCACGGTGCTGGCCAATAATTTATGCGCGACAGACTTAAATTAGAAACGTTTTTCTTGTTGCGCTTTTTTCAACACTATATCCATGTTATGAACGCAATAAACATGGCCCACTAAGGATGAGAAGGAACAACCATCGCCGTCGTAGTTGCTGCTGTTGTTGTTGCTGTTGTTGCTGTTGTTGTTGTTGGCCGTAGAACATTACTTCCTGCTGCTGCTGTTGTTGCCGAAGCGACAAGTGCACTTTATTAGCGCTTTCTCATTTGCCGCAGCCTTGGCCGAGGACGAGTACGAGGATATGGACTCACTGTGTGGCCGGCCTCCTTCTCGAGCCGGTGCCGCGTGTTCGCCTTTTGGCATAAACGCGATCATTAAAAGCACATTGACATGGTGCACAGTGAGCGACGAACTGCAATTTCACGCATACAAACACAGTGACAAAAATGTACAATGATTTCATTCCCCATATTAATTAAATAAATATTAACTACATATGTATATTATCGATCAGCATCAGCAACCGACCATATATATATATATATACAACTATATTACAGAATATGTATATAAAGTGTTTTTATGCTACTATCATTTGGAACAAACATATATCAACATCAAGCTGTTATCATATAGATTTCACAGATACATTTTTGAACTAAAGAGAATCCCACAATTTGTCAATTGCAATATAAACATATCTTACATTTGTGATGTTCTGATGTTAAAGCGACTAAAGCTAAAAAGTTGATTAATAATAAACTAATTTTTCGAGCTTCAGATTGTGCCATCGAAGTGCATCCTCAAGAAATCATTCGCTTTTTACCTGATTATGGAATCAAAAAACGCACGTATTCATTCGATCTTAATATAATTGAACATGTATGGGAATGGCAAACAATTTAATGATTTTCATCCACTGCACAGATGTAGTCAATTATAATAATTATATATAAAATATTTATATTTTCATTTTTAGTTTTGTTCCCAATTCAAATGAAGAAAAACTAACATTTTTCCTGTTTTGAACAAGAAGAAAATGTTTAAAAATACTAAACATGAATAACCTCCATACATCGATAGAGTTATTCTTATTGACCTTTCCTCCCTAGCTAGTCGTTGAGTGTCATATTTGTTGCTAAATTACAAAATGTTGAAATTGATATTGCGTTGATCAGCCATTATATTTTCATGTATCTTCTACACCATTTCGGTACTTCTTCGTTCTCCTCACTTGCTCTTAAATGTAGTACAACTAATTATAGTATATAATAAAGTATAAAGTATATAAATATAATTAAGAATTTATTATTTTATTAACTTTTCTTATATGTTTTATTGAAATATTACATTTAAGTTCAATTTATTTCTGTATTTCTCGTGTCGACTTCTATTAGTGGATATTCAAAAAGAAATGCTTAGCCAATTAATATGACGCATGTTATGTAAAGTAATGCAGTATACAATGTCTTTGACTTTGTTCTTGTCTCTGTTGTTCCTATATAAGAACACTCATTAATAAAACTCATTTGAGCTTCCCGGTAACTTGCGTCAGTCTTAAACAATCGATAAGTCTCGATTAACATCCATATTCATAGACGTCAGCAAGCGCTTAGCTATAAATTGTCTGAATGTAGATGCAAACATACATACATACATATATATACAAATACATACATACATACATATATAGTATGTATTACACATGTGCAGATGTAATGCAGACTCCTGACTGGGTCTCATTTGTTTTCTTTTGCCTATTTTCTCCATCAATGTGGCTTATGAATAATTTTTATACTTTGGCCCAAGTTAGAATTCCGGTTTAAGTGTCTGCATCAAATTTAGCAGCGCCATCAATTCAACTCAATGTTGGGGCCAGGCCACATTTTGTCCCGATCCCTGGTGCAGTGGCGGGCAGGCGAAACAATAAAAGACATAAAATTAATTAAATTAGGCATAAACAAAGCAAAAGGTGATTAATTAACTAGAAATTTATACCGTTACATTCACCAGCAACTGGCATAAAAGACGTGCTTGGCCCCGAGGAGCCGCGTCCGGGTGTTCAACTAAAAGGTGGACGGATGACGCTAAAGGGAAGGGGTGCCAACTCCCATTGACTCCCAACTGTCGACTGTCGACTGCCGAGTGCCGAGTGCCAAGTGTGCGGAGCCATGCGGAGCAGTGCGGAATGGCATTACGCCAGTTTGGCCATAAATGGGTTGCGAATTCTCTGTGCGATGGGGCAGCGTTGCCTGTGTGTATGTGTGTAAGAGTTTCCGCCAATGAGGCTACATTTTGCGCCTTATTTGCCCATTCATTATTATTTCGTTGCTTAGTCGTCCTCCTAACTGGTACTTGGTGCTTTTGATTTGGTTACTTGTCCATTGCGACTATTGTTTGTTGAGGCGCGGTGGACATTGCCGCGATTCTCTGCCCATGACGCCCGGCACTGGCAACTGGTTTTGACTCGAGCTCCGGCTCCGGCTCCGGCGCCGGGTCCAGCTCTGGCATTGGCATTTCATTTCGTGAGCACGCTTTTAATTAATTTTATAAAAACAGTCGAAATGAGGAGAGCCAACGGCATTGACATGGGCAATGAAACATGCTTATTACGGGTAAAAATGTGGGGTTGTTAGCCAAACCACCCACAAAGATTGTTACTATTGCATGTGAAGTGCAAAGTTCAAAGTTTGAAACTTAAACTTTATTAAAACTAGTTAAATCATTTCTAAAAAAACAATTAGCTTCTCTAGAAGTACTTTGGACCGCAATCAGTGTATAAATTATATTATAAAAATCACAATTTAATGATTATTTCTTAAATTACTCATCTGCTAAGATAATAGTAACTATTGTTTGGTTTTACCAATCAACCCATGCCATACTGATTACTTCGTGAGTGAACAAATAATACTAAAGTACACTAGACGATAGCGCTTAAGATGATGATCACTTGTAGCCATGTCTACTTAGTTGGCTTATTGCTGTTGATGTTACTCGCGATTTGCCATTAGTTATTCACTCAACGTAGTTTTCCCATTTCATCTGTTGTGCGCAGTCGGCATTTCTGCCGCATTCAGGGTGCATTAGATGGCGCTTGCTTAGTTTACATGCATTTATGTTTTCCAGCAACAGCAGGGGTGGCCAACAGGCGTCCTGTCGCCAAAGCACATCGTTGTTTGCACTGGTTACGCAGAATGCGGCGCCCCTAATTACAGTTAATTGATGCCACAGAATAAGTGGAATGAAGGGAGAATACAATATAAGACGGGCCAGTGAGAAAACATGGTCAAGCACACACAAAGCGCGACACCGAAAACATACACAATTTTCCACTTTGTACTAATCAAGAACTCATTATCCTTCATTATGCTTTTCAAGTAGCCGTATGCAACAAACCATTTCCACTTTACACAACACAGCAAATCCAAGTGGAAAACGGCCACCAAGCAATCATTCATGCATACAAAATGTAAAACGTAACCATCACTTATATATATATATATATATATATATTATTTGATTGGAGGGTTTGCAAATTGCTTCTTTCTTGTAAACTAATCTCTTAATTTTGAATAGTTGTGTAGAAAAATATATGAATATGTAAGTAAGTCCTCAATTAACCATTGCAGTTACAGTATCCATTTTCCGCATACTTTGACCGCAAAGTATATTTTTAAATCGCTTGATTTTTATACTATATATTTCAATGTCCGTTCACAATTTGTATGTTGAAGTCAACAAATGTTTAGTATGTTCCTGATAACTCCATTTGAGAATCAATAAGAGAAAGGTTTATTTAAGAGATAAATTACGTAGATTACTCGACATCTAAATCAAAATATATTTTGCATTTATCTCTTCCGCAATTTTAAAGTCAAACTTGGAATGCAGATTACCAGGAACCTTCCTCAAAGATTGGTAATTCTTGGCTACAATCATCCTGTTCCGTTTCATTTGTTGTCAGATGCTTGTTGGCATCAGAGTATTTTGCAGTCGCTTACGCCTGACTGCAATTTTCTAATTTCGTTGTGTTGTGATTATTACTAATCAAGTTAAGTAACTTAACAAACTCCGCAATTTATTACGAAGTTTTAGAATATAATGTGAAGAAAAAAAATTCATTAAGTGTTAAATGCAGAAAAAAAAATAATGTTTTGGCGCTGGCCTGAGAAGTGATCCATTATTAACTGTTGATTTTGAAATTTTCTATTATTTAAAACTTAGCGTTTATTTTTGATTCAGTGAAGTATTGAATCAACTCTTCTGAAAACAAATGCAAATGAATCGCGATAAAAATCCAAACAAATATTCATAAGTACATACATACATATTTATTGTTTAAAATATAAAATACAAATAATTATAATAATAAATAAATTATTTATTTATAATATATTTTACACATAAGCTTATACATGAAAATGCAGTTTTTTGTTTTAATATGTATCTCGCGTCACATTTGATGACTTGGCGAGTAACTGACTCCAACCACGACTCTTGTAATTAGCTTCTATTGTTGTCGTTGTCGTTTCTTCTGATTTCACCTCGTGTCTTGATCATCTTTTATTAATTTTTGTATTTTTTTTTTTTGTTTTTAATGGCAATTAAAGCGACCAGAGCTCACGAAATAATAAAGTTAAATACAGAATACGAAATAGGAAGAGTCTACGATGAAAATGAAGTAGCAATAAATAAGGAGAAGCAACGCATTCGCGAATGAGGGTTAAATGGACTGTTTAGTTTTAAATTGCAAGCGATGGCTACTTATATGAGTAGTGACTGAACTTAATGCTTGGCCTCCTCCTCCTCCACCTCGGCAGCGACAATGGGCTCCAGCTGCTTGCCGGACTGCTCCTCCCCCTTGCCTTCCGCATCGGGTAAGACGCGCACCTCCACACGATTGGAGGCGCCATGTTCCTGTTCATGCTCTTCATGCACGTCTTCATCGTCCACTTGCTGCGGGTCCACCTTCTGATCGTCATGTTGCGTGTCATCGGAACGACTCTGCGCCTTATGATTCTGTGGCAGAGATGACGACGATGACTGTGGCTGCTCAATGGCCGTTAGTATGGATTGCAATAGACCCTGTGACAAGATCTCCTCGTGATTGGCAACTGGCTCACCGCTGGCTGCACCACTGTGTAGATTGCTGCCAGCACCGCCAACACCCGCATTGTTTAGCGAGCTACCAAACTGTACCTGAAAGTTCTGCATCGGCTGGCCATCGGTTGCTCCCAACTGAATGCTCTGAGATTTTTGTGCCGAGATCACATTCAAACCATCCAGTCCCGGCAGCTCATGCGGATCGGTTCCGTCGGGTAGTGCAGACACTGACGACTTCTGTGAGGCGTAGCCGGAGTGATCGAAATCAATTTCGTTGCCCGAGGGTGGTGGACCATAACTGTCACTGGGCCTGGTCACAAACTGTGTATGCTGCTCAGCGACTGGAATGCTCTGTGCGATGGCATTGTATGCGCCCGGAGATGACGCCGAGATGCTGCCAAATTGTTGTTGCTGCTGCTGCTGGTGTTGTTGATGTTGCACTTGGTAGCCAGTGCTGCTTACCAAATTGGGACCATGGCCGCAATCGTGCACAACAATCGTCTGTTGCTGCTGGTGGGGTTGCGGTGGTGGTGCCAGGCCTGGTTGTTGATTAAATCTCGGTGCCTGGTGTGCCAAAGGAAGTCCCTGCGAGTGGACAAACTGTTGCGTGTACTGCGACGAACTGAAACTGTTCTCCAAGTGTTGTTGATGATGTTGCTGGTGCTGTTGCTGCTGCAGTTGAATGTGTGGTGGTGGTCGAGGTAGGAGATATTGCTGCTGTGGTGATGGTGGTGGTGGTGGTAAGTAGTTAGGCTGTGGACCAGGACCTGGAGGACCGAACTGCTGCCCTTGTCCAGGCTTCTGATGAATGAACGCTGGTCCGTGCTGCGGCTGCGGCAGTTGCTGCTGGACAATGATCTGTGGCGGCGGCGGACCTGGACGATTTAGAGGCGTTCCGTAGATAGCTTGCGGAGCAGTGGGTGGACCACTCAAGGCAATTTCATGGGCGGCTGGTGGAATGTAAGTGGGTGGTTGTTGCGCTGGCTTAACGCCAAATTGATCCAGATGCTGAACGGTGGCGCCAATCGACTCCAACAGACCGTTTGGCACGGGCGGACGATAAGCGACGGGCTTGCTGGGATGTCCAGCACCAGGACGTGCGAATGGCGGTGGATTTCCAGAGGGTGGTCCATATTGGATGTTAACGTTGGAATGCGACTGCGAATGCGCCTGCGACTGGGCATGGCTACTTGTCAAAGCGGCAAAATGTGGCTGCGGTGGCGGTGGTGGACCATAGTTGGGTCCGGGTGGTGCCTGCAGTGGTGGCTGACCACCACCACCAATAGTCTGGTATTTGTGAGCATGCACGGAACCAGGCGCAAACGAATCAGCTGGCGGCTTGGAATAGCTGTCTTCAATGGCACCGACGGAGATCTGTTCGTCGAAAAGAATGTTATACTTGTCATAAGTTCAACTGAGAAAATGCATTTCTTATAGTTTGACTCTCTTGCTTTTTGAATTTAAAACAAATGCGATTCTCCAAACTTTATTTTTGAGTGTGGCATTGATTACGTACCTGTAAAGCGTCGGAGTCAATGTGGTTGTTGTTGTTGAAATGAGCATCGCCGCCGGGACCAGTGATCAAGTTTCCACCATCACTCTGCAGAGCAACGGCAACCAGCTGTTCGTCGGTGAGTCCATCAACAATGCTGCCACCGCCCGTGCCGCCTCCACCCACATTGTACTGGGTGCCGAGGATCTGACCATGACTCTGACTGTGTGCCTGACTGTGACTGTGGCCCTGACCCTGATTGACGTTGCTGTAGCCGCCCTGGGTCTCGATGTGGTTCTGTTCAATGTAGGCACCGATCGGAGCTGGAATCGGTTTCCAGCCATCGCAGGCTGTGTGGAATGGTGCCTGGGAGCCACTCACGCTGTGTGTGTGTCCAGAGGCATCGATCTGGATCTGCACTTGCTTGAAGGGCGGCGGTCCACCCGGACCACTGGGTAGCTGCTGACCACCGGGACCAGACAATATGATGGTAGTCTCGGGCGCCCGGTTGAAGTTCGCCGGATGCGGGCCGGGCAGATTAATGGGCAGAGGTGGTGGGCCATAGTTGGGTGGGGTATCGTAGACAGGCTTAGGTGGCAGGTTCAAGGGTCCCGAGGCGGGTGGGCCGTAGGAAGTGGCTGGCTGATGGGCTGGCTTGAATAGTTGGGCAGGATGTGGTGCAGGCAGTGGCTGAGGAAAATGTGGTTTCTGTGGTGGCGGTCCGTAATGTGGTGGCGGTCCGTACTGTGGTGACGGACGATGCTGTAGCTTCAGTGGTGGCGGCGGTCCATACTTTTCAGGTGGTGGACCGTACTGCGGTGCAGGCTGTGGCGGTGGTCCATACTGTGGTGCAGGTGGGCCATACACTGGCTTCGGTGGTGGTGGCCCATATTCCGGTGCTGGCTTATGGTGTATATGAGGTGGTCCATAAAATGGCTTAGGAACTCCAAAGTGTGTCTTGATCTGCTCATACAAGCCACCCGAGAACGATGAGCCACCCCCACCACCACCACCACCACCACCACCACCACCTCCACCGCCCAAAAAGTTAAGTTTAGGTGGGCCATACTTTAAGGCTGGTGGGCCGTACTCGCGGAATGGAATCTGCTGTGGTACGCCATACTCCCGGTGTGGTATATGGTGTGGTGGCGGTGGGCCATACTGTGGTGCTGGCCTTGGTGGCGGTCCGTAACTGTCAAAGCCGGCCTCTCGTCGCTTCAAATCTTTGCCACTGAGCACAGCTTGGCCAAGGCCAAAGCTTAATGCCATCAGCAATGCGAGCCGGAGCAGCATCTGAAGGAGAACGAACAAAAAGAAAGAGATGCAACGAATGAGAGAAATGAAGGAGATTGATTCAATTTCTATTTATAAATCACAATTTAAATCATTTTATATACCGTGTATAAATCAGCGAGTGTAAATAATGATTATTTTTTTAATTGTGTAATCAAGTAAATCATTCACTTGGAATATACGTTAAAATAAATAAGTATACGCAATGATTTGCTGTTAATTGATTTTCCTGAGTGGTAATAATTATATTTTGATGCCTTTTTGCTAGCGATATTTAATTCGTCTACGATAGCAGCTTACTGCGATATTAACCATGACTTAAATAAGATTTACATTTTTAGGCAAAACGTACATTTTGCTATTTCGATTGTCAAACAATCCGAATCCCATTTGCAATAACGCAGTTCTGGGTTTCACACCATTCGCACACTCTCGCTGTGTCCACGGTTGCAAACATGGCTTACGTGTGACCATAACTTGCTCTAATTGCAGCCGTCATTTCTCTCTCCCTTCTCTCTTAGCAGTAATTAGTCAGCGGTTGGCCAATCACACTACTGCTAGCTGAGTCTGGCGCTCTAATTAAAACTTAATTGAGGTACTGTCTTCATCGTCAAAGACCCCATGGCAATCATATCGTAATCGTCATGATTCCCATGCCCCTTACGCATCATCGTCAATAACTGAACAACAGCAGAGCGTGCCACAAACAAAACAAGAAGACCAACAAACAAATTATATATAATAAGCCGAATGCCCGACTAGGCTTATACACTGAAAGTCCGCATACAGTTTGAAAAATAATTGACCAAACGACTTGGGTACAAATTAAATTCAAAGTAAACATGAATTTTACATCTTAAAGCTACAGATTGTCTTCGGTATTATCTTGAAAATTAATTGTTGATTGCATTTGTTGCATGCGACAAGTTTGATGCACTTAATTTGTAAAATCGGTGTAAATATATATAAAATTTGAATAACAATAAATATTATTTTCGATTAGTATAATTCCCATTTATCAAAGCTAACAGGAATATTGAAATGTTTCTAGTAAATGAGATAACATATAATTTTCTGTATTGTTTATCATAACTCTAATTGAAAATAATCTATTCCATTCACTTCAATCTGTCACTATCAGCTTTTAATGAAACAAACATGCCAAACTTAAAATACATTTATATGCAGCTGTCATTGTAACTTTTGTTTGGAAACCGAATCAAATGAACAAAGAACGTGTTACTGCTGATAATTTGTTATCTAATGGGTGTATGAAGACTAGGGTATATCATCGCCGGCACTCCAAGCTTTTATTGTGTTAATTCAATAAAAAATGCGGCAGGCAACAAGCATTATATGATTACTCATTCCACATTCGAAACACAGCGTGTGAATTAACCGTTGAAAGCGAGTGACCGGGCTCAAAAAGCACGATTACAGCTGCACGTACAAGTGCAAATACATGTTTGTATATATGTATATATATATATATATATATATGGCATATAATACTAATTGGATGTGATTACATGAGGTCAATAAAGCATTTCGGCTGTTTCTGATGGGCCATCCATGAGTGGGTTTTAGGCTACAAATAACAAATAACGATCGAATGCAAATGAGTTGAGTAAGTAACAACAACAATCACAAAAGAGAGCAGGCAGGTGACAAGTAAAATTGGTAGCGTTAACAGGTTGCTGAGGATGCTGAGCGATTCGATAGTTCCGACTTCAAAGCCAATTCCAATGGTCAAATCAGTCAGTATGTCAGATATGAGGTCGTCTGCACTATTGTGTAACTAAAAGATAAACACACACATACACGTATTGATAAACTTGCTTGAGTGATGATGCCCCTTTCTCCAATTACGGCAACAATTACGTAAGACGCACTATGGGCAATCATCTACTTAGAGTGCAGCTCGATGGCCTCAGCCACTGTGCATTGAATATCAAAAGATGAAGCCAGAGGCAAAAGCAATAACAATAAGCAAAGCGAACAACAATTTGGCCAGCATTTAAATGTTATAAGCGCCCCAAGTGGCCAAAAGCGAAGAAGCCAAAAAGAAATGCCTCGTCCGAGGTAAAAACTTTCACTTCCCGTTAGCCACAATAACAAAAAACTGAAGACTGCCGCAAATATATGTATGTACATCAATGGCTCTCTCTCTCTCTCTCTCTCTCTCCCTCTCTCTGTCTTTGTCTCTGTCTCTGTCTCTCTCTCTCTCTTTCTGTCTGTCGTCCATCCATCCAACCATCCCACCCTCTGCGCCTCAATCCATCTGTTGTGAGGAGGATGAGTAGGTGTCACAAATGCAGGCAGTGAAATTACGCTGCTCATAATGAAAATACATTATACAAGAAATAGCAAACAATTAAGAGTGCCAGCAAGCATAAAATCATGTGAGATGCGGTTAGCAAAGAGTGCTGGCTGAAAGGGGCAGGTGGCAGATGGCAGATGGCAGGTGGCTGGCTGGCAGGGTGGCAGGGTGGCAGGGTGGGGAGTTAACCTGTAGAGCCGCCCATTGTCTGTGAAGCGTGTGAAGTGACCCGCATGCTGCCAGCAGATAGTTAATAATAACGAAAAGTAACTAACCCAATTGTTTTTGTAGTAATCTATTGCGAGAGAGTCAGTCAGTCAGGCAGCCAGCCAGTCAGTCAGTCAGTCAGGCAGCCAGTCAGTCAGTCAGTCAGTCAGTCAGTCAGTCAGTCAGTCAGTCGGTCTGTCGGTTGTTTGTCATATTGATTAAGTGATAGAATCAGCAAATGAGAAAATGAGCACAAACTTGACTTCACTTACTACTATTTCTACCACTTCTAATACGGCTGTCGACTGTTTACTTGGCCATTACTTTGAGCAGCTTTCGTTCGATTTCTGTTCATTAGCATAGCCCACAAATATTTGTTATTGATGCTAAACAATTGACAAAACAACAGCAACAACAGACACAAACAAACGAGCAGTCGCAGCAGTAACAACAAAACACTCAAAAACAAAATAAGCAAAAATATGTAGAAAAAAAAAGCAAGCTGCGAACTTTCACTCTCGTTGAGAAAACGATAATTTAGTTCGAAGATGAACAAACAAACCAAACGAATAATAACAACAACAACAAAACTTAACATACAACAACATTTACATATATTAAATGTAAATGAAGACGGATGCCCACTAAATTCGAAAAGGAAGCAGCAACAGAATCCCGAAAGGATTGCTTATCTCATTCTATAATCATACCCCGAAACACTCGCATTGGTCCACCCACATCCAACCCCTTTCTCCAGCAACCCCACCCCAATCTCCCTACCATTTTCATTCTCATTCTCATTTCCAATTACAATTCATATTTTCGTTTGGATTGCCTGGGCACAGCTGCTGCCGTCTGTCTGTCTTTCTGTCTTTCAGGCATTTGCTCAAAAGTAAGGCTCGTAATCTGTGTTAATTCCTTGCTAGCAGCAGCAGCCGCAGCAGCAGCACCAGAAGTGGCAACAACAACAACAACAACAACGATAGCAAACTCATTGAATAGCAAATACGAAATATTTATGAATCAATTTCGATCATAAATTAATTATGTGGACCCATAAAAGGCAGAAGCCTTCAGGCATCGTGTTGTCGAAATGAGTAATCTGCCACTGGCAAGGATGGTTCACAATTCCGCATCAATTTTCATTTGTGTACACGAAAACCGAAAACCCCTTATTAATTGATTGCATAGGTCAGTCATAGCGAAATCATATCGCAATCATTTACCAAGTGATAGAAACTTTTTAATTTCTACATTCAATCTGTTTGGATTTTTTTTTTTTTCTCCTTATTTGATTTTTGTTTTTGTTTTTGTTTTTGGTTTTTTTCACTCCTAAGCGGTTCGTCATCACCATGACAATTAGTGATGGTGAGACTGTGACAGTGACAGTGACAGCTTCAATTAGCCACTTTCTTTATTTTGGCTTAGTTGTGAGCATATCCAACCAACCGACAACCAACCGACGACCCGACCCCTTTGCATATTTTGTCTGATCCTAATTAGTGATGATTCTTAAAATGTTGTACCAGCTGGCTTGCTCATCGAAAAGCTGTGTTTAACTTTTGTATTAGCAGCCGTTCGGCAATCTTGGTAATTAATTAAAATTAAGCAAGATATTTTTATTGCCACTTAGGAACTTAGAATAAATTCTTTACCATTGCGGCAGCGCCAAAGATGCTTCCCAAAGCCGTTAGCAAAACTTATTATGCTTCGCAGCCGATCCGCCAACCTTATGCGTTACTTATTCCGCTTTTCGTGAGTTTCGTCTTGCCACTTTTCAAACAGCAACAGAAAAAAAATAACAAAAACAAAAGCCAAAGCCAGAAACAAACAATTAGCAGATACTTTGCTGGCTGTTCACTGCACGAGGACGCGACGTATGTTCGAGTATATATATTATTATATATATATTTGTGTATACATATATATATATATATATATATATATATATTTGTGTAGGAAGAAAATAAATGTGTTTGGCGCCGCCTCGAGACACACAATACTGCACGGAACGCGAATCGACAAGGTTTCGGCAACGGATCGTCCGTTACTTGTCACTCTCGAATTGAAAATGCTGCCGCACAGATGATAACGCCAGCTCATATAGGTAATAGCGAACGTCGGCGTCGTCGGCGCCGGCGCCGCAGCCACCGCAGCCACGGCCGTAGAGTCGAAAACTCGAAACCGAAAGTGAAGAAATTTTGTAAGCGTAAAAAAAAAAACAACAACAACAAAAAAACACGCACACAGACACACACACACACACACAAGACACTAAAATAAATAAAAATAAAAAAAAAGAAGACAAACTGACGACTTTGGAGTCGGCACAAGGTGCACGCTGAAGGGACCGGCATCCGACTCTGGGCCAGGGGCAGGCACAGAGTGACAGTCGCAGCGAGCGAGAAAAGAGAGATAGTGAGAGATAGAGGAGGATAGAGAGAAAGAGAGAGAGAGAGAGGGAGAGAGAGAGAGAGAGAGAGAGAGAAAGAGAGTTTGAGGGAGTGAGCGAAAGGGAAAGAGTCTTTTGTACGCGACCAGTTTTGCAACAATTTCACACAGACTTTGTGGCTTTTGCCACATGCTGAATGCAAATTGGCTGCAGCCACAACTGCAGCTTTACCAGTCAAGAGACTGTGCCACGGCACCCATAAAGATGTTTGTGTCACATAGTAACCAAGTAAAAGATTCTAAAGACTCATTCAGCAAATGCACTAAGACATTTTCCTTTTGTGATTTGAAGACTCTGTAGTTAAATTGGCAACACAGTATATTAAAGCTAATTGGATTAAGTCCAACTCTTATACATACCCATTTGGAATTAGCTTCTTGTATTTTCCTATCCATTTTGAACTGCATTACCCAAAAACATATCTCACATAGTGAAAAATGATTAGAAAAAAAAGTGATTTTTTATTTATATGCACTCACCTTGCACTCACTTTGAGGGCTTACCATAAGCTTAATGTATAATAGTGTCTGAAAAGGTGTTGCATGTGCCACACTGCTCTATTTTTATGATTTGTATGGATGGAGAAAAGCCTCGTTGCATATCCGCTTATGCATTGTAAAGAGTGTTAAAGCGTGTGATTGTCCACTTTTGGGATTACAAGGAATTATGTGTGTTGTTTAGTAAATAGAAAAAAAGGGCTCAGTATACAAAAGCGATTAATTTGTCTTTCATTGTCCACTTTCCATTTCTTTTAACATTAACCTCTAAAAGCATAAAAGCTTGTATTAAGTCATACTTCAAGTTATACATTTGCATTCCATATTTAGTACATTTTCGCATCGATACCAGTATCAATAACTAGATTCCGATTATTAATGCATTTATATCTAAGACCTACGAGCAGAGTATCAAGTGTATGTGGCAAGCATCAAATTGCAAACACCTATATAGAGTGACATAATAGCAATGCGCCCTTACGCGATGGTCAGCTTTGTGGCTAAGTGAGAAAACCTTTCCGGAGCCGCACACACTTTAACCAGTTGCAATTGAAACTTTATGAATGTATGTGTATGTATGTATGTATGTAAATACTGGTGTCGTGTTAAATTCTTTGAATTAATGTCATCCACTTAAGTTGCCCGAGGCATCTGCTGGTTAAGTCATATGACTTCATCATCTTGGCGCACCGAGCCAACAAGTAGCGCAGAGCAAGTTTTGCCTTCTGTTTTGTTTGGGTTGGAGGTGTGGCAGGCGTAGGCACAATTTGCGTGCTTCGATTCGATTTCGCTTTCATTTCCATATTGGGCGGTGGGTGGTTGGAGGTCGCCACTCTTGCTATCACCGTTGCCGACGGTAACATCGAAGGCGAGCATGATTTTGGCTTTGCCTTTTGCCTCTGGCAACAGATTTATGGTTGTCATCATCTTCGTTATCTTTTGCTGCCTATACACATACACACTTAAACACTTACACATACACACGTACACACATACACACATACACACATACAACAACTCATGCATATAGAAGACAGAGTTTTGGCATAAGCCTCAACCTTTGCTGGCTTTAAAGATTTTGTTTTCTGCATTTTTTAAATGATACCCCTTGAAACTCGTTTACTTTGGCTTTCACCCTTACATGCAAAACTTGGTTAGAGTGTAATCCCAATAAGATTTCAAAATTAGCTTTTAATGCGAGTAAATATTGCATGTTATGAATGGTCAAATTTGTTTTCATCTCATAAGCAATTTCCTCACACACAATCAACAACAAAAAAATAAAAATAAAAAATAAGAAAAATAAATACACAAAAAAAAAAAAAGTAAATAAATAAAATAAACCTACATTTAACATTGCAGTCTTAGTTTTCAGGTGATGACTCGGACTTTAGCGCTGATATTTATCCAGTTTTGTAAGCAGCTGACTCTCCACACACACACACACACACACACACACACACACACACACACACACATGCACGTAGACATATTACATAAATATGTATGTGGACTGTCGTTGTGCTTGCATCAACACCGCTACTGCTGCCTCAGGCAGACTTTTAGACTTCCTGCTACTACTGAAGTTATAACATTTACGGTTTGGTTTCGTTTTCGGGGTCGGAATTGGGGCTGGGACTGGGACTGGGACTGGGACTGAGACTGGGACTCGGCCTGGGGCTGCGGTCGGTGTCAGGTCGGATCGGATCGGGTCGGGGCCACTGGTTTACCAGCATCAGCCACCTAACCAATAACAACAATAACAGCAAATGCAGCGACAACAACAGCAACAACAGCAACAACAGCAACAACAACAACTTAACAACAGCATCAACTTAAGTATCTGCAAACATTTTGTCCCCATCTGTTCCCTTTGGGTTGTCATGCTTGCTGTAGGATTGCTTTGCAATTTTTTGCGCTTTTACTTTGTCGAGTTTAAAGTTGAGGAAACTTTCTTTTATTACATATATATGTATATGTTAACAGGAAAAAAGGTTTTTTAATTATATGCATATATATTATTCACGAACAGGTATATACGAGCCGATAATTAAAAAGTATGCATTCCTTAACTGATATGGAATTGCCGAGATTTGAATGGCACTTATATAATATTCCATACCATATCCATAGGTCCATATAGGAATACTCGGAATTTATGAAAAATATTATTTTCAAATGTAAACATAAGCAAACCATTGCAATAATATTATAAGTTAACATAATATGGTAAAGCCATAATTAAAAAATAAATATTCCAAAAGCTAAACTCTTCAAATAATAAGATTATTTATCCCCAAATCTATTTGATACTTATGTTTCACTTACATTTTTAATCAAGTTCGATTACCTAATACTTGTAACTGAATCGAAACGTTTCTAAGTCTTATGAAAAGCAGCGTTCGGGATACTGGGGATAATAGCATTTTCTGTGAACCAGTTGCATAACATTTGGGATACATAATATGTAGTGCAGGGTATCTCTAGGTCACAGCAAACTATGAACACAAATATTGAATATTTAAGTGATTTTAAATTTTGTTTTTTTGTTTGTTGTTTTTTGATTAGCGAACGTAAACTCATTAATGAAACAATTTGTATTTCCCAAGTCAACTTTAAGCAACCTTAAAGCCGTAGCATTCGAATTTGTGCCACATCTGTATCTATATATATGTGTGTGTGTGTGTGTGTGTGTGTGTGTGCATATGCATGCCAAATAGAGATAATACTCTATCCAATGTCAACGCGAAACGCACAATTATTGAGAAAATATTTAAAGAAGTGAAATTGCATTCCAATGCTGTGAGACATTGTTGTCGAAGGTGTTGCTGTTGCTATTGTTGCTGCCGTTGCCGTTGTTGTTGTCATTGTTGTGGTTGTTGTTGTGTTCGCTTTCGTCGCTGGCTGCTGCGCGTAGGCCTCGCCCACATTTCAGTTGATTTCGGTTGCAGGGCCCCAAATTTCAGGTGTAGCCACAATTATGCGGGTCCAGCCGCCGTCTCATATGCTGTGGCAGCACACAGTCTCCCCCTCTCCCACTCGCCCCACCCAGTTGCCGCGTTCCACTGTTGCCCACTCTGCTGCCTGCGTCTCGCTTAATGCGATGACGCAAATATTGCGCAATCCGCTTTCTTCTTGCCGTCTTTCATTCTCTGGCCATCGTTTCTATGACACTTGACGTTGTTGCTGCTGCTGCCGCTGCTGCTGCTGCTGCTGCTGCTGTTGCTGTTGTTGGTGTTGATGTTGTTGGTGCTGCTGCTGTTGTTGGTGCTTTAGGCAATGGTTTCGGTTTCGGTTTCGGTTTCGATGGTGGCTTTGCATCCGCTTCTGGGTCCGTCTTTTGGCCAGCCCAAAAGCGATTTGCAATTTGTCATGCCGAATGCTCCAGAAAGCATTGATTTCGAGCACAATTGCTCCAATACGCATTACCTCACTTTCACAATGCCGAACTGGCAGTCTGCGTCGAGTGGAGACCTTTGTGTATTGTTGTTATTGCCAAGTCGTTTTAATTAATGTTAATTAAATGCAGACTTGCCCTGCATTCCTATTAAACGTCTTTCTTTCAACTAATCAGTGAACCTTATCATCTCCCTCGCATCTCAGAGAAAATACATAAGGAATAAAGAATAGAAAAATGTAAAAACTAAACAATTATGCAAAATGTGTGTTCGACTTTTATTAATTTAAATAATTCCAGTTATCTTATATATTACGCTTGCAATTCTAATTTAAATCTTTAAATTAAAAAAAAAATAATAATAATAATTCTAATGAATATGATATGTAATTTTTAGTCTTATTATGACCTAATATATTATTTAAGTCACCCAAAATCAATTCGGCCTGAAAAGCTTAGAAATCGGTATTCATCGACAACCAAATGAAATATAATCACAATTTCAAAAATGCCCTCTCAATTTGAATATATATTGTCAAAATCTTAATCAACTGAAATAATCTTATCAAGATTGGTTATAAGACACACAAGTTGGTAAATAAATCATATATTCACAAATATCCCATTTTCTAATCGACTTGATCAATTCAATGGCAATAACAAGTGGAAATGTTGCATCTATCAACATACAATCCTACATACATATGTACGAATTAAATAGGTTAAACACGAGACACTGAACGAGGCAGGCACCTTCAGCCAGTAGCACACCTAGTGCTCTGAGGTGAGGCAGTCAAAGTTAATACTCGAAATATCCGCATATAAATATATATAGGTATTTTGCAAGGATTCCCACATAAATATTATGCTGATTAACTCTGAATTTCCACGACTTACTGCCTGAAAGTCAACCAACATTTGCCATTTCAATTTGGGTGCCAGCATCTCATTTGCATTGTCAAATGCGTGAGGATCTGTTTTTGGCTTACGCGTCGTATCCAACACCGCCCCCAATGGCACTTAGAATGCGAGGCGACCACCATTCCAGCCTCACCGCAAGTCTGCCAAAAATTGTTCATGCTTACGTTGCGTGAACAATTTTGGCAGCGAAAGAAGAAGACAACAGCAATGGAGCTGCAGCAAATTTATGATGCGTTGCGGGCGGCCATAAATTATCATATTAATCGTTAAAAGGTGTTAAACTCTGCTTCTCAGTGCGAGTCGGAAGCGAGTCGAACAACGATGCCTTGAATTATACACTGCCTCTGGGCACTGCCTGCTCTCTCTCTCTCTCTCTCTCTCTCTCTCTCTCTCTCTCTCTCTCTCTCTCTCTCTCTCTCTCCACCACCGCCATCTTCCACCGTCGACCGTCCCCTTACCCCATCCAGCCATCCATTTGGCATCTTCCGCATTTCATCTAGCAACGACCATCTTCATAATTTTTCGCGCCTGTTTGACTGTGTAGCAAGATAAACGATTTGTTCAGCAGGCAGCAACAAGTTTGTTAGGTCCCAGTCGCGAAGCACCTCAACTTTCACTCATTGCGCAAAATGAGCTTAGAAGTGACGCTTCAAATCGAACAAAACTAAATAAAGGCGGGTACATACACAAAAAAAAAACAAAATACAAAAAACTAAACAAAACAAAAATTACACACACAAAAAGGAATGGCGAAAATGCTGTTTCGACGCGCACTTGTTGCACGATCCGCCTTATGTCATCGTCATCGTCATCGTCATCGTCCCAAAACCCGCAGCAGCATTTAAGTAAATCACAATCGTTAATCAGTTAAAATGCTCGACCTTACTAATCGAGGGCTTCCCAGAGTCAGGTCGAAATTATCTCTCTTTCTATCTGTCTTGGAGTTTCGCTTTGTGTTTATTGTGTTTAATTAACTTTCTCTAATCCAGCCAACGCCTCTAGCTGACTTTGTCTCGATTCAAAACTATTTTAATTGGATGCTAGTACGTACGCACGATGCCCAAATACCTACTCCGATATACAAATCGTATTGAAATCTGCATGTACTCGTATGTGTATAGCATTGTCGAATTGGGTTAATACCAATCAATCCGATCGACCTGCCCATATCCCCTATAAATCCACCTTCCCTCATCTGGCCATACCATGCGTGCGGATTCAATTAGTACTTATAAGCTTTGTTCAACACTCAATAATTCGAAATTCGAATGCTAAAAGTTATCTTGTTTGCCCTTATAAAAGTTTCACTGTACATATACATATATATGTGAGTTGTTGGTCAAATTAGGTGCTGTTATCCGACATTGGCCGTTCCGGTATTTCTCAAAGCTCCAATTAAATTGATGGCTTCAAAAATGTGCAAAAGTTGCTTGTGTGCGTCGATCTTATTTGTTGAGTGCCACACACAAAAACATTTACCACAAGCAAATGTCATGCTGAAAAATACATTTAAGTGGCTTCGTAGTTTTTCGTGTAAATTGTTTTTGGGCTTTTGGGC